TTTGTTGTTACTGTGTTTGGCATATCGAATACGTCACGGGGAGCTTGCCAGGCCCTGCCGTGGGGGCGAGATACTCTCGATAGCTTCCGGGCTCTCCAAGAGGGGCGGAGGAATCGAACTCGGGTTGGCCATGTTGGCTGCATGCAAGGCAAATGCCCTACCGCTGTGCTATCGCTCCTATCTATATACTTTCCATTTAAAAAATTAGTGGAGAGGCCAGAGCAATAGTACAGCAGGTAGGGCATTTACCATGCACGTGGCTGACCCGGGATTGATCTCCGGCATTCTATGTAGTCCTCTAAGCATTGCCAAGAGTAATTCCTGAGTGCAGAGCCAGGAACAACCCTGAGCATTGCTGGGTGTAACCCGAAAATAAAAAAAAAAATAGTGGAAAATTGTCACCAGAGACAATCATACAAGGTTAAATGTGCTTACCTTGCATGTATACTACTGACGCAGGCTCAATCACTGACACTATAGAAGACCCAAGAGCTGTCAGGGTCACTCCTGAGAAAAGTGCCAGGAATAGTCCCTGAGTACTGTGTGGTGTGTCCCAAATTTCACCCTCCTTCCATAGATAGATATAGATACATCTTTGGTTAGAAATAATAGCAAAAATAGAATACACACATATCACATATTTTTGTATTAAACCTACAAGAACTCATCAGTTCATGTATAAATCAGAAGAACATAGGGAGAAATGTGTTTAATAGAAAGAGACAAATGTTGCTCGCTAAGCGTATTTTGATGAAATTTTGAAAATAGCACGTTTGCCATTTTTTCAGTTAAGCATTTTTATTTTATTTTCTTCATGGTGGAGGGGGTCTCCCTCATGGTGCTCAGTGGGTCCAGGTCTACTTCCAGTGCTACTTCAGATACTTGGCCAGTAGTGCTGTGGTCAGACTTGATTAGAGGGATCAAACTTTGGACCTCATCATGTAAAGTATGTACTTCAAATCAGTGAACTCCCTCTTTGACCTTTTAACCTCTCTAAGTCTTTTTGAAACTCCCTAAGTCTATTAACCTCTTAAAATTACAACGAATATCATTTTGTATAAATGACATTTGTTGTTGAATATCACTGCCCATTAAATCTAAGAGATAAATTTATCGAAGCTATATGCAGTTTCAATCAGAATTCATTGTTGTCATTATTGACAGTAAGTCTCAATAAGGTGAATGTAGCTTTAAGAGTTTATGTACGTTATTTTAATTTTTTATGTGCGTTATTTTAAACAGCCCTTCCCAATTTTCTGAGGTGGTGTCCCTGATTAAGACTGAAAGGTTCTCCCTGACAATCTTTGTATTACTTACCTTTTGTTTTTGTGGATAAAAACATGAAATACTGATTGAAAGTAAAGCACAAATATGAGATTAATACCCAAGAATAGCTGAGATCAGCACCAGGAGGATTACTCCATAGCTTAGTGGCCAGTCGGACATTCTAGAGGAAAGGGCAGCTCAGATAGAGAAGGGAACACCAAATAAAGGGTGTTTGGAGGATCCTCCCAGGAGGGGAGATGCATGTCGAAAGTGGACTATGGACTGAACATGTTTGCCACTCAATACCTCTTTTGCAGACCATAACACCCAAAAGGAGAGAGAGAACACAGGGGATTGCCCTGCCACAGAGGCGGGGGGGATAGGGGGATGGGGGTGGGGGGGATATTATCCATGGTGGTGGAAAATGGGCACTGGTGGAGGGATGGGTATCTGATCATTGTATAATCAAACCCAAGCACAAAAAATTGTAAATCTACAACTGTACCTCATGGTGTTTCACTAATAAAAAAAAATTTTTTAAAAAAGAAAGTAAAGCACAATCTTTTCAATAATTTGTTGAACACAGTCATAATTTCTAGTTTCATTCTGTATATCAGAATCTCAGTCACAGAACTCAAAGCTGTTACTGAATTATTGCCCTTCCTGGAAGACAGGGTCACAGGCAATTTCTTCCACTGATGTTTTCTTTGCTATACTTCCTACTACAGTTTGCTAGTTTTCTCCTTAGAGAAACAATTAAAGTTACAGAAATCCAAGTCAGGACTTTAGTATTAGTAATGTCTGACTCCCATTCCGCATGTTCTTTGGTATCTTCCAACCCTGTAAGCATAGACTTACTGTGATATTATAAAAATCTCTGATGCCTTTTTTTGGAGTTTCATGATGAGCCACAAACAAAAAACAATTATTTTATTTCACTGTATTGTTTCATTTGACCTGAATATTAGAATTCATATTATGAAGCAGTTACTTCTGAACTACTTAAAGAGTAGAGTTTATCACTAAAATCTTGACAATAAGTCTAGGTTTTAGTGTATTGTCACCTTCTTTGAGAAAAATTATTGTTATTTAGATGAAAACATTTGAGATTAGAATTAAAAATTACCGTCACTTTATTATTTATTAGCTACATACTAGGGAGCAAGTTTCTTAATCTCTTTTTGCTTGTTCCTTTCACTTAAAAATATGTATATGTAAAATCTGTAAGTCTACAACTGTACCTCATGGGTTTCATTAATAAAAAATAATAATAATAAAATATGTATATGTCTATATAGTAGCCACCTTTAAATCCTTATGGGTTGTCTAACAGGAGATGAAAGATGTATGCCTTGTGGTATTATCATATGTGGTGAAGCCATGTTCCTTTATTGGATATGAAATCAATATCATTTTATAGGCTATGGTTATTTTGAACCAACATAAAAGGAACAATTCTATATTTTCTTATACATGACTGATAATGTTGCAAACCAATTCATACAGAAACTTAAAAGTAAAAATGTTTTTGCAGCCAAATGAACAGTCTTGGTAAACATCAGGTGTTTTTTTATAATTAAGATAAGCTAAAGTTTCTAATAAGCTTTATTAAACATAGACTGCTAATAGCGTACAATCACTGTTCTATTCCTTTTATAATGGTGCCTTTAGTATTCCACTGAAACATAGCCAGTGAATGCACAATATTCTTAGTTACCATTATGAGGGGCTCTGTATATTACAGCCTCTCCACTGTCTGCTGTTAGCTAGAAAAATGCTGGGAGCAACAGCAGCCTTTATCAACAGGGAGCCATATTAATTATTTGAAATGTGCCTCCAAAGAGAAATCAGCAGACTCTATTACAAGTCGAATATTACTTGAAACGGGAAGGTTACTCTAACTGTTATCATAATCTATGTGTCATTAACTTTCCTTGTTTAGGAAAAGAGATTAACAACCCTGTAAATTGCTATAGTAAATGTTTAAAATATAACTGCATATTCCCATTACAGAAAGTGGTAAGCCCTCCACTGCTACCCAAACCTTCTTTACATAAAGTCGCTTTAAAAATTAAACTGACTCTATAATGAGCTTTCTTTCTCAAGATCCTAATTGCTTACTGGATTAGCAGTATGCAAACCATCGCTACTTTGAGCACTAGAAAAATTGTCGTAGTAAACCTAGCATTATTTTTTCAATCTGCATCGTGGCCTTTTCAACTTTAAGATATGACATGGCATAGAAACTGAATTACAAATATTCTGTATGTATATCACACATATGTGAGACCCAGTAGAATGTATTGCAAAAAAGAGAATGTCACTGTCCTCCCATTGTTCATCGATTTGCTCGAGCAGGCCCAGTAATATTGTGAGACTTGTTACTGTGTTTGGCATATCAAATACGTCATGGATAGCTTGCCAGGCTTTGCCATGCAGGCAAGGTACTCTCAGTAGCTTGCTGGGCTCTCCGAGATGGGCAGAGGAATCGAACTCTGGTTGACCAGGTCGGCCCTGTGCAAGGAAAACACCCTGCCCGCTGTGCAATTGTTCCAACCCTGGTAAAAATATTTTACTATTATTGGTGCCGTTGCCATTAAAGGACCCAGAAGAACTGTTACTGTCTTTCTCTTTATCTTGATTTTCGAAGTCCATATTAAGGGACCTTTTTGGGATGTTGTCAGGGATTCGACGTTGGGCTTCATGGAGTCCAGTGCCAAGTCTTCCCTATGCGGCCCATTCTGAGACTTTGACAATCTACACAGCCGCTCTGACAGGGCTGTACCAAGTCACGGAGAGCACCTGCTTCTCCACACCACCAACTTTCATGCGATAACATCGGAGGGGGCGGGTGGCTCAGAGGGCGGCAGCGCATGCCTGGCTTGTTGGAGCCCGGATTCCACTGCCGGCACTGCGTGATTCCTAACTTAGAGGAAACCCCCCTATCACTAGTACAGCCATCTGTGCCAACATCGTCCCCCCACCGCCAAAAATAAAATAAAATAAAACATGCGTAAAACTAGAACAAGAGTAACCGAGGTTTTGTTCTGAGACTTATCCTGGTCCTCGAGAAACGAACAGGTTCTCAAGGATTTTACACCCAAGCGTGGGGAGACTTCAAATTCCCAGCAGGAGTTGGAGCTGTGACATCTCACTAGGGAGTGACCAAATTCATAAATTCATGCACCTACTTTTTATATGACATTTGTTTCTGGTTTTTATTCCCTGAACAAATACAACAAGTAGTTGGGAGTAGTGTTTTATTCAAATAATGGAAGTGAATCATAGTGAAAAATATGTTAATTAGGGTTTTAAATATATCTCAGTGTGTTCTATTCAGGGTATCATCTGACACTGGGCAAATATGCAAACTTTTCTTAGAGCTGATCTGCAATAAGATCATTGCAAAAGTGGAAGATGAGTGTTTCAAAACTTTGGGTAGATTGATAAATTGTTTACCATACGCCTTATTTAATCATATCAAAAGTAAACTTAAATTTTGCAGGTATTCACTGCTCAATTAATTTGTAATATATCAAAATATAGTTAAAATAGCATTAATTTATTTGGTTACAGATGGATGGCATGCTATCTTCATGTTTGAGTAGGTCAGCCTACGCTATCTAGTGATCATCAGTGTAGTGCGGGAAGACATACCTCTACCTCATAAGAATAAGAATGAATGTGTTGAACTCGGATGCCTTTGTAACCTCTCCTTTTTTGTGTGTCCACAGGGCAGGTGCATCATGGGCAGGTATCATACATCTCTCCACCGATTCACCTTGACTCCGAACTAGAAAGACCCCCAGTTAGAGGTGAGTTTTCTTCTAAAGAAAAATAATGCTATCCATGCTTTGTTAAACTATTAATTTAATTAAAGGTGATCATAAGTATGTATTTTGTATAACTATTTTAATAATCAGGGTGGTGTGTGGTTACAGAGAAAACAAGTGGAAGGACATAATAAATTACTCACAAAATAAAACACAAAATATGTGTTCTGAGAAGTATTTATAAACCACAGTAAAAATGTGGGGTCAACAAGGATTCAATGAATGGAAGGCTGCATAGACACTATTTAGGTGTACAGAATATAAGATTATATTTCCATTTTATTGTTCATTTTCCTACTACTATAGTTTTTATAGTAGCACTGTAGCACTGTCCTCCTGTTGTTCATCAATTTGCTCGAGTGGGCCCAGTAATGTCTCCATTGTGAGACTTGTTGTTACTGTTTTTGGCATATTGAATACAGCATGGGTAGCTTGCGTAACTTTTAAAAAATTAAGTCTTAATAGCTTTTATTCATTTTTTTCCTGAGAAGTTGGAGGATTGAACCTGGGACCTCACATATGCTAGGCATGCACTCTATATTATGCTACATCCCTGGCCCCCTTTACAAAACCTTAGCATGTTGACTTGGCATGTACCATTTTTGTCTCACACTTGTATGTGCCTTAATTTCCACAGATTGCAGTTCTGGAATCAATGTATTGATCTAAATTATATTAATATATTTTCCTAGAAAATGCATATTTTATTGTTTATTCAGTCACAAGCTTAGTATTAGTACAATTATTTACTTTTCTAAATTTAAAATTAAGGTTCTCAGGAGATGACTTATTTGCTTAAAGCACTCTGGGTAAACCTTAACCTATGTGTTCTCGAACAAGAGCATGTGCTCATGGGTACCTGAGGATTTCATGATCTAGGATGCCCAGAAAGAGGAAAACGGCAAATAAATGAGTAAATAAAATATATTAATTCAGATTATATAATTTTAAATGTTGGGCTGGAAAGATATTATAGCCAGTTGGCTGTTTGCCTTATATACAGCTGACCTCTCTTAGATTTTGAGCACTACATATGGTCCCCTGAGCACCACCAGGAGTGCTCCCTGATCACTGCCTCATGTCCTCCCACCAAAAAGAAAGTGCACAGAAATCAAATTGATAGTCGATGTTTAAATATTTTAAAACACAGTCATAAAAAGCAACTACAAATAAAAGTAAAAAAGTAACTTTAATATATTATAATTTAAAACAGAATTTCACTTCCTAACTGTAACAATTTTTTCAGTGATTTCCAAAGTTTTTTTATAACACTTGAAGCTGATATTATATAGACATGCCATTTAATTGTATAGCGATAGCACAGCAGGTAGGGCGTTCGCCTTACACGCGGCCAACATGGCCGACCCGAGTTCGATTCCTCCGCCCCTCTCGGAGAGCCCGGCAAGCTACCGAGAGTATTCGATATGCCAGACACAGTAACAACAAAGTCTCCAATGGAGACGTTACTGGGCCTGCTCGAGCAAATCGACGATCAACGGGAGGGCCTTTACCTTTACCTTTACCCAAAATACCAAAGTTTTCACTTTTTGTTTGTTTTCTTTAGGTAAAACAGTTTATTTTCTTAAAACTTAGCAAGTCCAAGTAACATGAGACCTGAACATGTTGGGATCTGGCTTTTATCAGATGTTTTATTCATATCCTCTTTCCTCTCTTAGGAGTTTTTTTAACTTTTCTTTCCATCCAATAAGATTCTGCTAGTGTGTTGAGACCTTGCGTTGACACCAGATTTTTCTGCCAAATGCTCTAAATGGAACTACAACCAGCCTCTGTTTCCCAACTCTCCCCCATCAGTTATTCTATCTAAGGCATTGTATTTTTATTTATTCCATGTTTCTCTTTCTTCTATAAGGTTTTTGAGGGCAGAGAATGTCATAAGTATTGTTTGTCTTCCAGCCTCTTGTCTATGCCTGTCATATTGCAGGGACCCATACAGTGATTTCTATTTAAGGAACTAAAAGCAAAGGTGGCAACCTGAATTCTGAAAGATGAATCCTCACTTTTCTAAGAAGAAAAGGGAATAGGGTGATAAGGGAATTATACAGGGAGGAAGCAGAATAAGCTAAATGAACTAACAAATATGTATATGTGAAAATGTGTGTGATATTAAGGAAATGTGCCAAATGCACAGTAAACAAGGAGAACTCTTGAAGGAGACAAGGGAAAGTTGTAGTGAGGTAAATCAAGAAAGAGTCTGCATGCCTTGCCAAGGAGCTTATATTTTATTTTAGGCCAAAGCATTGTAAATTCGTTGTTATTTGGGATCAAGACTGGACTGTACTCAGGGACAGTGCCATCCCAGAGAGAGAAAACACTGAAACTTGTTTATAAATCATGTTCTCTACCACTTGATCAGCATCCTTGGTTCAAGAATCATTAAGAAAAATATGTGTCATGCATGCTGGGGAGGTGACTCAGAGGGCTGGAGTGTGTGATTTACATGTGGGAGCATCAGTTTCAATCCTCTAGAGCACACAGCCTCCATGTATTGAGTCAGAAGTAGCCAGGGAGCACCATTAGAATGTGCATCTGCTCCAAAGAATATCAAAAATATTTGATTTCATTTGGGGAGGAGACATAGCCATACTCAGTTGTGCTCAGAACTTAAACCTGGCTCTCACTTAGGACTCATTCGTGGCGGTGATCAGGGAACTATAGTGGTGCCAGGAATCAAACCTAGGTCATCTGCATGCAAGGCCAGAGCCCACACTGCTGCATTTCTCGGACACTTTAATTTATTTTAAAATAGTACTAAGTTAATAGACTAATAACTCCTACCATTTCCGGTTTGGGGTATGAAGAAAATAGCTGATATCATTGTAGATCTTATTAGATTGGCAAAGAGAGGAGTTTCAGTAAGCCGAGTATAAGATGATGGGGAATTAGTTAGAACTGTGTAGTTAGCACGTTTATTGAAGAAATATGTTAGACAACCCATTTTACTGACAGATAGAGGGGAAATGGGCAAAAATTTCCATCATTTCCTCATGAGGATTAGATGAATTTTAAATCAATAACATTATTTTAGATACATTAATTTCTAGTAGACTTTTTTCCTACCAAAATTCAAAGTATATTGATGTAAATTGATTCAGCTCTTCAAACATGATTTCAGTAAGATTTGGGTAAATGTACTGTAGTATTATTTGTAGAGTAATATAACAATACTCCCAAGTTTAGTGACTTAAGAAATGTTTATCATTGTTTTCAGAGTTGGTTGAGTTGTTGTGTGCTGATTTGGCTGAGAACAAATAGTATTCTGCAGGCTGGCATGTTTTGCAAGGGAAAAGATCTACTCATATGTTTTCTATTCATCTAGATGACAGCTGGTATGATGACCATACCTTCATTGTCAACATCTAGTAGGGAAAGATAGGCTTTGTTCGTACTGTGACAAGTGTAGCCAGGTCCTAAAGTTCAGATGTTTTTGAAGACTGAGTATAAGATCTTTGCTAATGTCTTATTGGAGAAAGTGAGTTATTTTGTCAACCTGAGAGGGTAGAAACAGATTCCATCCTTTGATGCAAGAATCTCAATTAAGTGCCCTGATCCAAATGAGTGAAATGTGAACCTTTTTAGATTCATTGCAAAACTAAGGAAGCCAATACATTTAGAAGGAAAAGAAATGACTGATAAAATGAAGGTTCTAGATATGTCTTATCCCTGGTTCTCTGAACTTCTACATAGTTTAAATTTCACTGTTGACTTTGTTAGGATAAGCAATAATATAGACAACAGTCTGGAACCTGGTAGACCCTAGATAAAATGTTGCTCTTTCTGTATACCTTTGCACTCACTGCTGTGGTGGGTGGAAGAAAATTGAGCTTTTAGTGATCTGAATGACACCTAAATAGTCTGAGTCATTTATAAGACAATAATAATAATACCAACCTACAAAAAAAGGATTAGCAACTGGAATGACGTGTCAAGTTCCTGACAAATATCTAATACAAATTATTAGACCCTTAAGAATTAATAGTAGGCATCTTTAGAAGCATTGCTTTAAAACCATACCATCTTAGTAAAAGTAGTGGTGGTATATACTAACCTGGTAAAGAATGGGCAACTACATTCCAGTATTCATCTCTGCTTGAGACATCTTCAAACTGTGGTCTCTGCCATAGAACAGTTGTCTTGATCACTTCTAATTTGTGTGTAGTTCCATTATAAACATTAACTCAAAGATTTTAGTAAATAGCTGTGATTATTTTTCCAATTGAAGTAATGGCCATTATTTTAGTGCCAGAGGCTAGCAATTTTGAAAATAAGTGCATTTATTTACATAAATACAAAGACATATAAGTTGTCCAAATACTATTACCAAAAATCCTGCACCATTTTTCTTAATTGTCATTTCATTTAAAGACAAACATTGAATGTTATCAGTTTACAAACAACATTAACTAGTCGGAACCAAAAAAATGTTCTTTAAATTTTTCTACTGCAGCCCTCATCTTCATTTACTCTTTAGTTATTCTATATACTGTCATTAATAATTTATAAGCAATGAAATCATTCAAGGTACCTATTATGTATTACCTACATATGTAATTACCCTTTGGTATCATTGTAGCACTGTCCTCCCATTGTTCATTGATTTTCTCAAGTGGGTACCAGTAACTTCTACATTGTGTGACTTGTTACTGTTTTCTTTACATATCAAATACATCAGGGGTAGCTTGCCAGGCTTTGCCATGTGGGCGGAATACTCTTGGTAGCTTGCCAGGCTCTCTGAGAGGGGCGGAGGAATCAAACCCAGGTCTGCTGCTTGCAAGGCAAATATATAAAACCGAAGGGTAAGGAGTCGCTTACCTTACTCAAATGTTTTTATTTGAACCTATTAAAAATTTTATTTGAACCTATTAGAAGTTTTATTTGAATCTATATAATATGTGAAACCGATCTCTCTAAAAAATATTTATATCCCGTATCTAGTGAGTAAATATTTTGTGAGATTGTGTAGT